GATGTTAGTCACTACCAAGAGCAACACTGTTTTCCAATTGTACCCTGAACAATATAATATTAATGTGATATCAAATTTCTTTTAAGAATGATTGCTTTGAATTCTTTCAGATTGACATTAACACTTTCCTGTCCAATGGATCTCAAGAACTTTCCAATGGATGTGCAAACATGTATAATGCAACTGGAAAGTTGTAAGTACAAACAACTTACTTTTTATGAAGACTTTTTAAAATATAGTAGATATAAATGGTTTTTAATGCATTCTTTAGATAATTTGTTTTCTAAAATTTTCTGTCTGACTTTACCAAGTAAGCATGGGATCTTTCACCAGGTATTGACAGTAATAATATCTACCGACACATGCACTCTACACTATCATAAAGAAATAAATGGAGGGCCTCAGAATAACAGTTTTTAAGCTTGAAAAGCAGCTTTATGTCTCTATAGAAATCATCAAAGATTAAAGAATAATAATCATTAAAAAAACACTACCTTTTTTTTTTTTTATTAAGTGCCTGCTATAGACCAAGTATTTTGTAAATATTATTTCTCATTCCCACAACCGGGGTATCGTTATCCCCGTGTTTCCGGGTGTGAAATGGTCGTTTTGAGCAATTGAATGTTGTGCTCCAATTCATGAGGTTGTAACAACAAACCATCTGACTCCAAAGTCAATGCTTACTCTGAACCATCACGCCGCCCTTCAGCTAATATTTATCCAGAGTATACTCTGCTGGGTATGTTATTATGCTATCTCAGGAGAAAAGAAACTTCTCACCCTTTGTCAGAGACTTATCCAAGCTTACAGACATTCCTTTAAATACGTTCTTTCAAAGTGGATCCATGTGCATCACTGATTAATATCAACACATAAAAACTCCATGTCCTATTTCTCTGAAGTTTTCTATATAATCAACCCTAAATTAACTGGTTTGCCTGTTTAAGGCCATACACAAAGTAAGTATTATGTAACATTTTTTCTCGTGGTACTATGTTATATCCGAAAAAAATAATAAAAGTTTGTTTTGGTATATTCCTTGAGGAAAACTTGAAGGTGGATCTTCAGACGTAGGCCTCAGAGGCAAGGATTGTAGTGTGGTGGAGTTGTCACTAGATGGCGGCCCTGCCTCATGGGGGAACACAGCCATCCCTCCACGTTGGTTTCTCTTAAAATAAGGAAATGGAAATGTCCATTTCTCTGATAATAACACCTTCCTTGTTAAATTTAAATGAATTAGTTTTATAAGTAGTTCTTAAAAGGTAAGCACACCCATGCATAAAGTACTAAATTAAATGAATAGAAAATAAAATAATCTAGTTTTAGTTGGGGAGCTATTTAGCAATACAAATGGAGAGGGGCAACAAAAAGATTCCCAGCCGTGTGGAATTTTTATCCATACTATGAAGGCATTTTGGGGACAGGCTGATTCTGTATCTTGGTTGCCAAATCAGGCACATGGAAAGGTATTGAGAAAAAAATCATATGCAAAATAGTCTAAGAGAAACTGGTGCCCTAATCACTAAACCAGGGGCTGCTTGGATATTATCTAATAGGCAGTGAGGAGCTGTTCAAGATTTAGGAGGAAGAACATGATTTGGTCAATATTATGCTCTTAAAGATTCTTTCAACTAAATGGACTAAGGTTATTGTGGAAGTTTTCATAATATTCCAACAAAAAAAGAATAAAATTAGGGACAAAGGGGAAATGAAGTTAAAGGTAGGCGCAATAGAGGTTGTACTGTATGGGATGCAAAGATTTTATCTTCATCCTCTTAGACTTTTTTGACTGGGCCTGAAAATGAAACAGACATGAGACAGATTAATGGGAGAAAAGGATACACATTTACTTAATATAAGTTTTATGTAACATGGAATCCCTCACACAGAAATGAAGACGCAAAGGAGTGGCAAAACCTAAATGCTTTTATACTAAGTTGAACAAAGGAAAGCAATTGTGGAAAAGTAAACTATGTGGGGAGGCTCAAGGAAGATAAGAATGATTTTAACAAGGCTTGTTTGTACAGAATTCTCTAGACTTCGATTCCCTTTTGAAGAATGTTTTTTTGTATTTTGTTTTTTTCCTGGTTAAGGAAGCACATCTTTCGCTCGAATGTTTTTATCTCTTGTTTTAAGGAATAAAAAAGGGGAGATTAGAATGCGCTTGTTGCATCTGCTGTTTTCCAAGTGCCTTTAGCTCAAAATAATCCTTATGTTAAAGTGGCATGTTTTGGGGTGGCATATTCTGCCAGCCTTCATTAACTTCCATACAAAGTGCGTGTAAAGGCTCTGAGCACTGATGAATCAGAGCTAAAGAGCTTAGATAAATAGAATCATATTGGAAATATTGACAAAAAAAGAAAACCTAGATAAGATGTAAATGTTGAAGGGAATATTGATAAATCTAATCTTAATGTATTTGAAGTTTGAGAAATTTAGGTATAAAGCCAAAGGGAGGAGTTAGAACTGAGTACACTATTAAAAGCTGTATAGAAAGGGGTTCAAGTGATAAGATGAAATTTCTGAAGGATAGGCTATCCAGAGGGAAACAATGCACAAAGAACAGTCCCTTAAGAAATGTCTACATTAGAAGGAATTCCAAAGGGCTGTAATAGATGTCAAATTAAAATCAATAGCATTCAATCTCAAGAGAAAAGACTGTTGAGAAGATCTAGTTAACAGTATCAAATGCTGTGAAATGTTTTTTAAAAAGGTGATTGAAAAAGGAGCCATTATTATTAATGACAAAGACATATGTCATTAGAATGATGAGGGTCAAATCTGTATTAAAAAGTTTAAAAAGTGCATGATGATAAAGAAGAAGGAAGTAGTACCATTTGCAACAATATGGATGGAACCAGAGAACATTATGTTAAGTGAAGTAAGTCAGTCAGAGAAAGACAAATACCATATGACCTCACTTATATGTGGATTCTAAAAAACTGAATAAATGAGAAATGTAATAAGAAATAGTCTCAGAGACACAGAGGAAAAACTGAGGGTTGCTAGTTGGGAGTGGGTGGGGATGAAGGAGAAGGGGAAGGGATGAGACAATACAAATTGGTAACTACAATATGACCTCAGGAATAGAAAAGACAGTCTGGGGAATATAATCANAAAGATGAAATTAAGAAGCAATTGTTCTTAATAAATTTAGAAATATTAGAAACTAATTAAGATACTGATTTTCATAGCCTAAAATGGAGTCAGAAAACATTTTTTTAATACTTCCATTAATGGTTGAGATCAACACCATGCTCTAGGCTATGCTTGTTCAAAATGGGCAACACCTCAATTTTAATGAGGTCCATTGTTTGTCACAGGCTATAGTCATCTTTTTTAACATTACTGCTTCACCAAGCCAAGACTTCTTGGGAGAAATTTAAAAACGCCGTTTCCTGTTTATGTGTCTTGTCTCAGAAAGAGAACTTAGTGTCCTCTCTTACACAAGAAGATATTCATTTCCAAAACAGTAGAATGTGATTAATTGTCTTTTGATTTCATTTTCTTTTGATGTGGTCAGGAAAAAAAATCACAATTTATATGTAATGTTTTGATGAAGAAATTCAGTATCACACCCACCAAGCTGACACATATTTTTTCATCCATATGCTATTAAAGCAGCAATTGTATCATGCCGTAAACAAAAAGAAAATGTCAATAAATAAATGTTTTTCAGGATATGATTTATGACAAGAGTTCTACAAGCAGTGTTTTTCTTTCCCAAATAATTTCTTTCAAGCACCCCTTTTTTTTTTAAGAATTATGTAATGTCTCTCATTTTATGCCAGAAAAATAACCAGGATATGAATTTGACATCACAAGCATGGTGAGAGCCTGGAAAAGATTCTGAGAATGCTATTTACTTCCGTACAAAAGGTCGTAGAATTAATGCTCCAAGCCAACATTTGAAACTGGCTAGTCAGAGAGCCTTGGATGTCTGGAAAATTAATGTGCCTGTGTTCCAAACGTACTTGTGCATATACCGCGAATAAATCCTTTCACAAGACCGAGAACATTGTGTCCAACTGATTTTTATGATTGCCTTTTTAAGAGAGAACTTTGCAAATCTACAAGCTTATACTTCCAAGCTCATTTAACCTAGCTGAGCCAGGAGAAAATTGCCTCTGAAGCATGAACTCAATGCATTATTCCATAGAATCTGACTTGAATGAATTGTCAAAGGATCCTCCTGGGACTCTTAAAAATTCAGCAACTTCACCTCTGTTCATTTATGTCTCTCAAATTATGTTAATTGGAGCTCACCAAGAGTATTCACTGTAAAACATACATCATTATAACTTTATGTGTATGGTCTGTAAAAAAATGCCATTTTGGACAATGTGGTTACATTTACTAGAACTGATGATTATTTTTTGTTAAAGCTTAAGTCGTTTTTACACGTGATTTAATGCAGTCATCTTTGTGCCCATCCTGTATAATTTTGGGGAGGGAAAGATGGGAAAGTGTGGGGGTGGTAGAATGTACTAGTAATCCTTCATAACTAATATTTATTGAGTGTTTACGGTGTGTCAAGCACTTGTCTAAGCACTTTATATGTATTAACTGATTGTATTGCTCGCACCATCTCTCCAGAGTAGACACTATTATTATATTCAGTTTAAAGGTGTGAAAACTGAAATTTAGTCAGGTGAAGTAATCTGCATACTGTCACAAAGTTTAGGTAAACAAATCTACCTAGGGTGCTACACATTTATATGCTGAATGTCACTGGCAATAATTTTAATAAAAGGGGCTAGCTAGAGACTTCTCAGAAAAGAACTTTGAATAAACTTGGGTTTGTTTTGATCTGGGCCTCTTTTTTCTCAGGTCCAGAAACTATAAATTCTTGGTAATCCCTGAAGATATCTTGCTAATAAACTATTCCAATAAAAAAATACTCAAGAGTGTTGAATGATCTGGAATGACAATATACAAATACTTTCTGAAAGGGGAAAAAATGAGTGGAACACTGGTATACATCATCCAAGTCATCTCACTTTGTGTGCAGCCAAATCAGAAGTTTGGTGAGCTTGGAATGGTGTCACACGTATTCTAGAGGGCTATTTCTTGACTCCGATAAGACCTGGTGACAGGTCTAATCCCACAACAGGAAACTCCACTCTAATGTCTTGACCTCCAGATTCAGGGTTTATCCCTCTGCTAAATATTGATGGATGTTTATTGGCAACT